CATGGCTGGCTGAGGAATTCTGGGAGTTGAAGTCCACACATCTTAAAGTTCCTGAGGTTGAGAAACACTGCTTTGGCCCCTTAAAACCTTCCCCCAAATGTCCCTCAAAAAAAGAGGAAAGGTTAGAACCAATTTTTTTTCTGATGAAATTGCCGTGCTGGCTTTCAATAAGATGCAATTCAGGTGCTGGTTCTCACCTATAAAGCCCTACCTGGCCCAGGACCAGTTAAGCTGCAGAATTGCCTCTCCCCACGGATGTCTGTCCATCCCACTCACTCCAGTAGGATGGGCACACTTCAGGTCTCCTGAAATGATGCCATCGGATGGGACCCAGGAGGTGTCCCTTTTTGGTTGTGGCGCTGCCCTCTGGGAGGATCCCCCCACAAAACCCTGACAGCTGGCCCCAACCCTGTTGGCCTTCAGAAAGGCAGTAAAAACTTGGCTTTTTCCTCAGGCTTTGGGGATGATTGGAGCTGTAGTCAGGAATTGTCTCATTCTGAGTTTTATTCCCAGTTGGACATCATGCTCTTTTCATTTATTGATTTAATATATTTTTGCCTTGCTTTTCAGGTTAATCTTTCAAACCAGCTCACTTTAACTCTATACGTATATTATAAATACTTTATAAATATTTCAACAAGAACTACTTTGGTGGAGTGGTTAAGGCACAGGGCTAGAAACTGGGAGACTGTGAGTTCTAGTCCTGCCTCGGGCATGAAGCCAGCTGGGTGACCTTGGGCCAGTCCCTCGCCCTCAGCCCTAGGAAGCAGGCAGTGGCAAACCACTTCTGAAAATCTTGCCAAGAAAACTGCAGGGACTAGTCCAGACAGTTGCCAGGGCTCAAGACTGACTCAAAGGCACACACACACAAAGTCAAAAGCATACAACAGCACTAAAAACCTGCAGGAAAAAAAAAGAGATTTCAAAAGAAAATCACGTACACAACCAATTTTCTACCCACATTCCATTCTGATTCTTCATCCTTCCAAACTGTAAAGCAGGTAAGTTCTCCGTGATATTGTAACAATTCAGCTAATAGGAAAAGGAGACAGCTTGACCATCAAACTTTCAATGGTTATATCACGATGTGACCTCTAGGGGGTGTCGCTTATCATGGTAATAAAGCAGAGAGGAAAAAAACGAAGGTCAAGGCTAGCTTTAGCAGCGTTTTTCAACCTTGGCCACTTTAAGGCTTGTGGACTTCAACTCCCAGAATCCCCCAGAATTCTGGGAGTTGAAGCCCACGCAACTTAAAGTGGCCGAGCTTGAAAAACACTGCTTTAGCCTATATAGGTGCACGTGTATATATTCACACAGGCAACTGTAACATCTCACAAAATTTGCTGGGCCAGGCTCTGCAACGGTGATCTAATGATAGTTGAGGAAAATGCATATTAAAGTGGGGGGAGGGAGGGAGCCACGGTCGGGCTGTCCTCATGATTGTCTGTTGCTCTGTGTTGAGGATGTTTTGGTGGGGCTTACCGGGGTGGAAGTGGACCTGTTTTCGACCTGTTTGGTCATTTCAACCTGGAGGAGCGGACCAGACCGGACTGGAGCGCTCTTGCGTAGGGGGCTCAGAGCACCTCCTGCAGAGGAATTTGCTCAGCATCTGTCGGACAAAGTCACTCAGATTTGCTCACAGTTGGATGCCGCCCTCGTTGAAGGTCCAGAGGAGATGCCTGGGGCTGAGTCTTGCCCGGCTATCTGGGAACAGTTTGAACCTGTTGAACCCAAGGAAGTGGACAGAGTCCTCAGGACTGTGAGCTCGGCCACCTGCTCTCCAGATCCATGCCCCTCCTGGCTGGTTAAAGAGGCCTGGGGGGTGTTGTGTGAGTGGGTTCTAGCAGTGGTTAATTCTTCTTTGAGTGAGGGGGTTGTTCTTTCGCCTCTTAAGGAGGC